TCAGGGTTTGTAGACGTTTTAGGGACTGTGCGCGTGGGACTAGCCCGGTAAACTCATGCTTAGCTCGACATATTCATGCTTAGGACCGGCAAACACATGCTCGTGGCCGGTAGATTCATAGTTTTAGGTAATAATCAGCAGCGCTGCCCGGGGTCTTCATGATCCAGGGCGCCTGATTCATGATCGCGCCCGGTATGTTCATGGTCCTGGCCGTAGGTCTCATGATATTGCTCGCCATGTTCATACCTTGGGTCGACATGTTGGAGAGTGGCCGCGTAGTCGGTTTGGAGAAGAACACATCGAGTTTTCTGGATGTCGGGGAGGAGACTACGTGTGAAAACTGACTTTTGTGGTCGTGCATGGGACGACGTGGTTTGTCGAGCGTATGGTTTCGTGCCCAATTGATTGGTTTCCCGTGCTCTGCAGGTAACCATGGCGGACGAGCCGTGCTCCTCTGGACGCCACGAACATGAGGAACAAAGTGCCGATGAGGCGGTCAGCTTGATTGATATTGTCGACGACCCTTTGCTGGATTGGGTGGGCGCCGAGCCCCGAGGAATCGCGTCGATATATAGCCGGCGTGACCGAAATCCATATGCTGTCCTCGAAGCGGGCCAGGGCCAGCCTGACTTCCAAAAGAATTTCGTTGTCATGCGTCCGACCTCCCGTGCCCGGATCTGCTCGGTGTACCCAGAGTATAGCTTCCCGATGTACGAGATCGCGTTCAAAGATCTTGGGCTGCAGCTGCCCTTCAGTGACTTTCAGACCGGGGTCTTCACCCATCTGGAGTTGGCTCCGTCGCAGCTACACCCGAACTCACTCGCCTTTATCCGGGCGTTTGAGCTGACATGTCGCTTTCTAAGGATCGGGGCGACCATACTGCTCTTCTTTAGAATTTTTCATCTGCAGCGCCAGTCCCGAGGAGGGAAACACATCTGGGTCTCCTTAAAACAGTCGAGGAGACTATTCAAAATGTACATGGACTCCGTGAGGGGTTTTAAAGACAAGTGGTATGTCGTGCGGCCAGTTACCACATCTGCTTTAGGATCCCTGTACGAGGAGGAGGCGCCCATAAGCGATGATGACGGGGAGGCGGTCTTAGGCAACGATGGGTATCCCGTGATGGCCCGTACAACCAAGTTCCCTGTGCATTGGATGTTCAGGCACTACGAGCACGGGACTGGATACTACCATACTGCTGTCGGGGACATGTGTTCGGAGGACGAGGAGGCGTACGCCACTCTTTGTCGGTTCGTCGACAGCTTCCACCCCGCCCAGTGGGCCACGAGGGAAGGGGACGATGTCTTGGATGCAGAGGGTTATCTGACATTTGAGTCCCGGCCGATTGATACTAAGGCACTCATGGAGTGTCAGACGTTCAGGCAGGCTGCTCGTCTGCTAGGTCGTTTATTGCTTGAATTTCTTTGCTCGTCATTTATTTATGAACTTGCTCGACACTAACCCGTCTTTTATTTTGTGCAGGCTCGATGGCCGGTCGAAGGGAAAGACTTTTGAAGCTGTCTTGCGACCAGAAGCGAGGCAGGAGGGTCGTGAAGGCTCCCCAGGCGACGAGGATGGGCCCGCCACATAGTCCGGGCGCTCTCCAGGTGGTGAGGGTGGATTCGTCGCCCAGCTCGGGGGCCGCGTCGGATGGGATCCCAGAGGTTCAAGAGGTCGATCCTAATGCCGACCTGATACAAAGAAAGAGGACCCGGGTGGAAAGCGGTCCGGCTGTCAGCGAGGACACCAGCGCCGTCAGGTCTTTCGGGTGTCCCCCTTGTTTCAAAGAGGAGGGTTTCTTCGAGAGATTCCCTCTGTCAGTGGTTGCCGACAAGGCTGATACTATCAAAAGGATGAGTAAGGAGGATCGGAAGAGGCATCTGGCCGCCAGCATGGACGGGTTGGTGAAAATGGCTGAAATGGCCCTGGTGTTGTCCGAGGAGGGGGGGATCCTGTCCGTATTGAAGAACTTGAGCAGGAGAAAGCGGCTCTCACCTCGAGCTCGCGGAAGTTGAAGACTGCCCTGGAACGCTCCGAGGAGATGTTCCGCGAGCAGACAGTGTTGCTGGATGCTGAGAGGGAGATGCTGGTCCTGGAGAAGGAAAGGTCGGGGAAGCTGGCCGAGGAGGGAGAGTTTCTCCGTGCGGACAGGAATCGTCTGGAGACTGACACGGGCGCTTGACTCAACAAATCGAGGACATGAGAGTCGCCATGCTTCCTGCCGAGGACGAGCCGGAGGACATAGTGGCTTTGAAGAGTCGATCGGAGTTGGTCGCCCATATCCGGTTACTCGAGGCAGATTACGTCAGTGCTCTGGAGGAGGGGTTCGACTCCGCAGTCGGCCAGCTTTCCTTGTTAAACCCTGGTTTGGTCACTGAGGGGACGGGCCACACACATCAGATCGTGGATGGCGTGATCGTGCCCCCTCCCGACTCTCCAGTTGTCGACAATGACGGTTCTGGGGAAGCCTGATTGTAGGATAGCGGGCCTGCGTGCCTTTGACATTTGTATTTTTTGGGCTTGCGTGCCCGTCGGTTGTACGTTATGAACATCGCCGGCCTTCTTGGTCGGTTTATAATTGTTTGCTTTGTCGCCTTCGGGCATTTTTATTTGAATGAATGCTGTTTTTCATTTGAATGTTTTGCCCGTGTTTGAAATATATGTTTGCATAAAATTTAGCCTAAGTCATGGGCCCGAGGAGTGCTTGTAAGTGGCTGTGATTTAGCGAGCGAGTCTTCCCGTCTTCCGTTTGTATATGTGCCCGGCCCTCTTTCGCTGGCCAGAGTCACCTAAGTGTTGCGCTCGAGGGGAGAGACTTCCCTTTGACCCTTTTAGATGGCCCGTCATTCTTGACGACTTGTCGGGCATATGGAGCGAAGGTGCTCAGTCGGGCGCGAAGCCCGGTAGGGACTATTCGCCCATGGCGTGAACTGCCCATCACGAGTTGGGTGTTCTGCCTTACGGGTATAACGACGGTGGTGCTCGGTGTAGCTGTCCACGTAGGGCACTATCGATTATCCTCGTTTGACGAGCGATGTTGTGCGATTTAGCCGTATGTCGGGCTTGTACCTCAGCCTTTATACGAAGTCGGACGTTTTCCTCGTTGACCGAGCGCGGGTGCCGTTGGTCGAGGGTCCCAGGTGTTGGTAGTTTTTAACTGTAGTACTGTTTTAGCTTAGCAGCGTTCCAGGGTCGTGGTAATGGCTCTCCGTCTAATTGCTCGAGATAGTACGCCCCGGTACCAGTGGTGCCGTGGACGCGATAAGGTCCTTCCCAGTTCGCGGCCAGCTTCCCTTCGCGGGAATCCTTCTGGTTCCTACGTAATACCAGGCTGCCGATTTTGAATTCGCGCTTGATGACCTTGTCGTTGTGGCGTAGAGCCACTCGTTGTTTTAGGGTGGCTTCGCGCAGGGCTGCACCCGATCGGATTTCCTCGACTAGGTCGAGTTCGTCCCATAGTGCCTCGTCGTTCATTTCTTCATCAAGGGGGTTCTCGGTTCGTCTGGATGATTCCATGATTTCGACTGGGATGACGGCCTCGGTGCCATATGTCAGTCGAAATGGCAACTCGCCCGTCGTTGAGTGGGGCGTGGTGCGGTATGCCCACAAGACGCTGTGGAGCTCCTCGACCCATCTCCTCTTGGCTTCGCCGAGTCGACGTTTGAGTCCTCGGAGGATGACTCTGTTCGCGGCTTCGGCTTGCCCGTTGGTCTGAGGGTGCTCGACCGACGTGAAATGTTGTTTTGTACCTAGTTTGGTGACGAAGTCTTGGAACCCGTGGTCGGTGAACTGGGTACCGTTGTCGGTCACCAGGGCCCGCGGAATTCCGAATCTGGCGAGGATGTTTCTTTTGTAGAAACGGAGGATATTGTGCGAGGTGATTTTTGCGATTGCCTCGGCCTCGATCCATTTTGTGAAGTAATCCACGGCGACGATGAGAAATTTGTTCTGGTAGGTTCCTTGCGCGAAAGGCCCGAGGATGTCCATACCCCACCAGGCGAACGGCCACGGGGATGACAATATGCTCAGCTCGTGCGGAGGGGCGAGGTGCATGTCCCCGTGTTTCTGGCACTTATCACATTTTTTGACGTGTTCCTTGGCATCCTGCTGCATCGTCGGCCAGTAGTATCCTGCTCGAAGGGCTTTCCTTGCTAAGGATTTACCGCCCATGTGCTGGGCGTTGATCCCTTCGTGTATCTCCCGCAGTACTTCGGGGACGGTGGACTCGTCGATGCATTTCAGGAGGGGGATGGAGAATCCTCTTCGGTACAGTTTCTGCTCGAGAACCACGTAGGAACATGCTCGTCGCTTTGTGACGGTAGCCTCGGCCTGATTCGATGGGAGTTCGCCTTTTGTCAGGAAATTATGAAAGTACTTCTTAATAGAGCTTCTTTTTTGCTCTTTGTATTTGACTTTTTTACAGTGAACTCTCACATATTGTTCTAGTCAATGCTAAAATTTTAGAATATTATCCATTGTCATACACTGTTTTAGTTTGATATTTGTTACATGGATTTATTTGTTGTTATATTATTATCTTTTTCATTTTGTTTCTTAGGTACAAGGTATATAGTTACATTGCTTAAATCCTTCCAAAAACTTAAGGAAACATTGCTCTCGGCACTGATAATGTAACCTCTAGATTAGAGTATCCGTTTGCGATCATGTGTGATGTCAGCGACTATGTTGTAGGCGCGGTATTAGGACAAAGGAAGGATAAAAAAATAAATGCCATCTACTATACAAACAGAACTCTAAATGAAGCACAGATAAACTATGAATCTATAGAGAAAATTTTAATTAACACAAACTGAAGTTTGTTTCTATCACAATTCAGAATATATATTTGGTTTACTTAAACAAAATTACCAATATTTAGATGTATTCTCAGCTTTTTTTATATAAAAGATACTACATTATTTGAAAGATCTAAATTTATTAATTATAATAGACTACACATTATGACAACCATTGGCATTGTTCCATGATTAAATTTCCAGCTAACGGGGATATAACTCTGTATTTGAAGTTTCATTGATTGATTCTTGAGCTGAGTTAATATCTTGAAAGTTTGGAACATCCATATAAAATGCAGGTTCTAAAGGCATAGGGAGAGTGACAGAAGGACTGTTAAGCATTACTACAACAGAACTCATTGTTGGCCTGCTTGCTACATTCTCTTGAGCACAAAGTAATCCAATATGAATGCATCTCATTATTTCATTTTGTGAATCATTATTTAATGTCGGATCTATAGTATTTGTTGGCGTTCCGTCCCTCCAATTTCTCCATGCCTACATAAGTTTTTCCAAATACAAATATCATACTAAGTTAGACATAATTTAGTTCTAAACAAATTTAAACTAGCACAAAATATTATAATTCCATGTTTAGAATGATTTCGATGATACGATGAGATAAAAAGTATGACTTACAAGCTAGAGAGATACTCTATACTTTCCCCATCTCGAACACCGCTATTTTTCATACCACTTACAATTTCAAGAATTAATATACCAAAACTGAAGACATCTGACTTCACTGAAAATTCTCCATGCATTGCATATTCAGGTGCCATATATCCACTACATAATAATAGAGATATTAAAACTCGACTAAATTAAATTTTTCACAATCACACATGTTCAATTTTATACCAATTTTCATTTATAAACTTAATAAAATATTTTATGAATAACAACTTATACTTCTTTTGAATACTTACTAGGTTCCCACAATTCTTCTTGTGTTTTCTTGAGTTTGGTCTGCACCAAAAAGTCTCGCCATGCCAAAATCAGCTATCTTAGGGTTCATCTCTTCGTCTAAGAGAATGTTACTGGCTTTGAGATCACGGTGAATAATACGTAGTCGAGAATCTTCATGGAGATAAAGGATTCCTCGAGCAATACCTAAAATAATTTTGTAACGCATTTCCCAATACAATTGTCTTCTCTTAGCTTGATCTGCAAATAACATACCCAACCATTTTAAATCTTGTTCCAATGTAATTAATAATTTTAGTATTCACCCACATTATCCACTTCGATAGATATTAAATTAAAACCTACCAAAAATGAAGTAATCGAGACTTTTGTTATGAACAAACTCATATACAAGTAATCTCTCAATTCCTTCTAGACAGAAGCCGAGTAGTCTAACTAAATTACGGTGTTGAAGTCTAGCCACTAAAAGCACCTCATTTTTAAACTCCGAATCACCTTGTCCAGAATCTTTTGATAACCTTTTCACAGCAATCTCTTGTCCATTGGAAAGTTGTCCCTAAAAATTTAAATTATTTAAGAATGCTAAGTTTTCAAATCAAGTTTTATAGACTTGGTAATTAATAGTGTAATTTTACCTTGTAAACAACCCCGAATCCTCCTTCTCCAAGTTTATTAGAAACAAAGAAGTCATTTGTAGCATTACATATGGTGTTGAAGTTGAATTGCAGTGACTCGGATATTTCAATTTTGTCGTTTTGATCTTCTTCTTGAATTTTCTATAAAATGGGTAAAAATAAATTACCATATGTGATAGGAAACTAATATATTTTTTATAAAATTTTTTGTTATTTCACAGAGAACTAAGTACTTCAACGTTAAATACACAAAAATGCATAATACTTTTTTTAATGAGAAAATAATATATCAAACAACAATTGAAATACAAGGGGGGTAGTTATACTAATTACAATAAAAAGCATGTCCAATAAAGGAAGTCCAACCACACAAAAAAAAAAAAAAGAAATAAAAAGACAAAGAACAATAATGTAACAATACAAAAAAGTGTAGAGAACAATACTAAAATAATATAGAGAAAAACCACCTTACACCAAACTACTAGACCAAATACCAAAGCCAACAAAATAAGGCTTTTAAGATAAATAAATAAGCTGAAAATACTCAGACAACAAGAGCCAATTGAATCTTATTTAACAAAAAAATAAGATGAGAAT